GGCTCAGGCGTAGTTTCTCTTGGTAAATAAGCAATCAGCACAGTGACCTCCACCTGGGACGTGCACGTGACACACCTTCCTTGCTAACGAGAGGCCTTGAAAGCCTCACTTGCTGATGACGGTGGAGGATTGCAGCCTGGCGGCGGGATCAGCCCAGATCCTCACAAGAGGAAAAGGCTTTAGTTGTCAAGAGCTGTGGCCTCCTCGGATCCACACTCCATGCTCATGGAAGCAATAGTCGAGAGAACAAAAGACGCACTGTGTTAGGGAAATCTGCACGAGACCTTATTGAAACGCAAGGACGGGGAGGGGGGAGCGGGAAGGGAGGGGCAAAATGAGCTGACACCAAGGGCTCGAGTAGAAAGCACGTTTTGAGCATGATGGTGGCAACGAATGTACAAATGTGCTTGACACAATGGATGGATGGATGGATGGTGATAAGAATTGTACAAGCCCCCAATAAAATGATTAAAAGAAAGCAAGCCAAGCAAGGAGGTTACTTTGAGGATTCAGATGCCCCTGGCCCAAGTCAGGGCACTTCCCCTCATGCATGCGAAAGTTTGACACTGAATAAGGGAGGCCGAAGGAAAATCGATGTGTTTGAACGGTGGCGCTGGAGAATATTGAAAGGACCTTGGACTGCTTAAAGGACAAACCCATCTGTCTTGGAAGAAGTACGGCCAGAGTGCTCCTGAGAGGCAGGGATGGCAAGGCTTGGGCTTACATACCTTTGACAGCAACACCGTTGGCAGCCGGAGCTGGCTCCTCTTGGAGCAGCCAACTATTGAGTGTCTGCGGCTCCTGGCTCCTCCGTGGGCCCTGACTCCGGCACCCCCCACCCCTCATGGGGCTCCTCTCGTTGCTGGGTGCATGCTTGGCTGTGAGCTGAGTGGTCAGGGGTTCATGGGAGAAAGTCGCGGCGATGCTGGCCTTGGGAAGGCTATGGAGCGTTCCCGCCCTGTCTCACGGGTCTGCTATGCGGCAGAACGGGTTTGAAGGGCACACAAGTCTTGTGGACGCAGCACGCCAGGTCTTTCTCCCAAGGAGCTTCCAGCTGGGCTTGAACTGCTAACCTTGGGTTTGGCAGCCGCGCCCCAAGCTCTCCACTTCGAGTCGTTCTGCCCTGGGTGGAGGAGTCAGGACCACAGTGAAGCTCAGTACACCCCTTTCTCCGTGCTTGGTACACAGCACTGGAAATGCCCGCGCTGACCGGACCCCGATACACTCGTGCCTGCTGGTGACCGAGGGGCGCGTGTCCCTCTTCTCTTCACGGCCGCAGGCCCCCTGTGGGACCCGGCTAGGTGACAACCTGGGCCCCGCCCCCCGCCTGGTGCAAAGTGATGGAGAAAATGCTTCTTTGCTGGGCTCTCGCTCACCTTCCTTAGCTGTCTCCCCTGCAGTCACTTAGTCTCACTTCTCTCCTTAAAACCCCCTCCCTGTCCTGCTTCTCAGCATTCGCCCAGGGGGTCCACGCAGCAAAAACGGACAGGCAGCTGGCTACTGCCCATCCATGCCCAGGAGTATGGGCAGCAGACCAGGGTGGGGGCTGTGAGATGCGCCGGGGGAAACCTCCTCTGAAGAACAGTTGGAGCGCACGTGGACCTGGAGGGCAGCCAGTTGGTGGGGACAGAAACCTCAGACCCCCAAGTTCACAGCACTTCGGACTTTCCTCAAGGGCACAGCGGCAGTCATGGGCACCAATGAGGGGCCGGCACGGCACAGGCACCTAGCGCTGGGCCAGGCCAAAGACCACCCTGCAGGGTGGTGTCCTCACCCTCACGCCCCACACCCTCAGCAGACCCGCTTTCCCTATACCTTGCTGACAGTTACAAAGACCTAAGTTCAGTTACAAAGTCACTTCAGAGGGAGTGGGGTCCCCCTCTCCCTGCCCAAAGGAGCAGGTTCTCAGGAAGGGGGAGTGGCTGCGCCCTGGGCAGAAGACCACCCCCAGCAGGCTGCACCTGTCACCCAACAGAGTCCGCACCCAGACAATGGCAGGCGGCCCAGCTCCCAGCTAGACTCCCTGCGGGAGTAACTTCCAGCAATGTTCTTAGAGCTCAGCTAACATACTTTCCCAGAATCCTCCACAACTTCATCGCTGGGTTGCAGTGAGCAGGGATCTTGGTGAAATGTGCCCTCCCTGCCCTTAAGAGGAAGCATGCCCCAGGGGTCTTTCTCAGAGCCTTGGTTTGGCACTTGGCATTTACGGTAGTCATTATACGGGACCGCCTGTGGAAGTCTGAAGCTGTATCTTTAACACCCATTAACATCAGCACCCCGTCAGGCCCCTGCTCACTGCTCTCCTTGCCTACCTGGGGACTGAGGTGGGGGTTGGGCCCGGGCAGGCCTCGGCAGGGAGGACCCAGGGGCCAGCACGAGTTAGCAGTGATAGACACAGGCCCCAAAGGAAGCTTCTCTTTCGCTGCCAGCTGCTTGTCTCTCTGCATCGGGCCAAGTCCCCAGTCCTGCTCTGGTCCCAGCCGGTCTCTCCATGGGCTTTGCTTCTCCTGGACCACACTCAAATCCTGTTCCGGAAAGGTCCGACAGGATGGAGAACTGTGGCTGCTATGAAGGGATGCAAACGTCACACCTGCACAGGACTGGGCTTTCCCTCTAAGGGTCATGTGCATATTCTGGACGTACGGCGCTGGCGAAGAAGACAGCCAGGCAGGGAGGGCGAGGCTTCTCATGTGCTTTGAAGGACTGGACTTCATGCTTGGGAAAGTGGAGGGGCAGCGGAAAAGCGGAAGGCCTTCCACAAGATGGACTGACCCGGGGCAGCAGGCATAACCAAGGTGAGGGTGTCACAGGATCGGGGAGCGTGTCCTTCTGTTGTGCAGTGTCCGTTAGTCGGCACTGACTGGAGACCCAACGGCGGTGTCCGCCTTCCCTTTGAAACCACTGAGCTAGTGGCTTCATCAAAACCCAAACCCACTGCTGGTGTCAACTCTGACTCAGAGTGACCTTGCAGGACAGGACAGAACTGGCCCCAAGGTGTCTGAGGTCGTAAATCTTTGCGTCAATATACTGTCACGTTATCACTCATCAGGAACTGCTGACCTTGCCCCATCCTCACACATTTCCACGACAATCCCCTTCATTTGCTGCAAGTGCCATTTTTACATCAGTGAGGCGGCTTTGTGCCTTTGCTGCACCACACAAAAATTAAACCCAAACCCACTACCAGCGTGTTGATGGACTCATAGCGACCCTCTATTGGGTTTCTAAGGCTGCAAGTGTGGGAGCACGTGGGAGCCCCCCCCGGGAGCCCCCCCCGGCAGGCTGCTGGGTTCAAGATTGGCAGCCCAACTCAAAAGCCACAATGCGGCTGAACCATATGCCACCTGCTCCAACATACCTGGGCAGCAAACATACGCTTACGATGACAGCCCAACTTGAACTTCTAGGAGGTGGAGCTGGGGATCAGCACCTGGGGTCCCAGCATTTCTCCTCTACAGAGAAGGCAGGCAGAGGGAGGGGTTCCTGCTGTCACCGTGGGGTGAGGTGGGGGGTGCACGGGCACTGTTTGCCTTGCTCGTGGCCTGGCACGCTGGTGTTCTGCGTCTAGACTAGCTGGCACCTGGTGTCTGTGATGGGTAGACATGTGGTGCCACCAAATCCTGGTGCTCCGAGAGCCTGGCACGAGCCGTGAGTGAACGGACCTGGACCCTCTTGGGCTGGTTTGGCGAGGCCAGCCTTCTGTGTGCGGTTCCCGAGTGACGTCTGGGAGAGGTGGCTTGCAACCAACTCCTTCTCAGGTGCCAGTGTGTGTGTGCGTGTGCCACTCCCTAGCTGCCTTCCGTAGGGTGCTAGGCTAATTTATGTTGGCAGCACCACTTGACAATAGAAAACTGGCACAATGGGGATTGGGGAGATCCTGTGCTGAGGAGGGGGTAATCAGCTGGCAAACAAAATTGGGAGGCATTAGAACAGTTCACGGGATCGCTCTGAACACACCTTGTGACATCCCCGTCCCCATGTTTACTCGCCTGGTTCCAGGGCCCCTGCGGCTGTAGGGGCTGTAAGGGGTGCTGCTGACATGAAAGCATCCTCTGTGGGGGGTGTGTGCGTGTGCGTACACCGAGGCGGGAGGCGTGCACCTCTCCTCCGAGTCCCGCGTGTTCTCGTGGTGTGGAGGATGGTACTGGGATGATCCCGGCTTTGAGACTCTGGGATCACCTGCCTGTAGGCGTGGGCTATCTGAAGTCTGAGGGGGAGGGTGGTCTTGAGCCGTGCCATAGACCCCTTGTCTTGACGTAGGAGCTGCATGCTGTTCTGAAGGAGAGCACAGGGGCACCGACGTGGGCCTGGAGGACGGTGGGCAGAGAGGGCTGCAGGGGGAAAGGAAGATGAATGGGGAGGGGGCCCCACCTTTGAAAGGATAAAGGACTGGCATCAGCAGCATGGCAGGGTTCACCCGGACTTGACCCAGGAAGGGACAGAAGCCGATGCCTTTCTGTCAAGCTTCCAGGAGGCATTTTGGAAATGACAAATGAGCAAAGGTCCTGAGTGTCTTTATGTACCCCAGGGGCACCGCAGGACACAGAGGGCACTGCCAGGGCAGACCTGGCAGCTGGTTGCTGAGCGAGTCCTGATAGCGGCCTCGCCTAGCCAGAGTGTGCGCACCATCGCTCCGGTGACCTCCTCGTGGGTGTGGCTCCTGGTCCCAGAAGGAAGCCCAGTGGCTGGGGTGCCCCTCGGAGCCAGTATCAGAGCCTCCCGAGGCGGCGGGCGGCACAGAGCTGGGTGCCCCGGCTGCCTTCCTCGTTGACAACAATGTCTGTCATTCGTGCAGCCGTTCTCACTGGGTGGGGGGCCCACGGGGCTGTTCCCCGGAAGGACCAAGAGGCAGGGCTAAGGACAGGGGGAGAATTCGGTTTTGTTCTCGATGTGCGTCCAGCAGGACAACACACCTGTGGCACTTTGGTCAACATCCCACAACCCAACGGGACCCAGAAGGGGAAGCAGAGAGCGCAGCGAAGAGACTCCTACAGCCATGATGTGTAGCAATTGCAGGGTCTTTATGGGTCACCCCATGTTCCCAAAAGTTTCACACAGTGGAACACACTTGCAAAGAACAATTAAACAAACCGTTTTTTTTGCATGCTTCACCCCACCTATTCTACCTCCAGAGTCTCGTGGGAGAAGCTTATCCCACAGGAGTATGTACCAAAACCCAACTCTTCTAACAGAATGGTAATGACACGTGGCTCACCATGAGTCTGTTCCTGAGAAGCCTCACGCCACCCAAGTCTCGGCTGTCAAACAGCTCAGCCACGAAAGGTCTGCAGAGGCCACACCATCCACGCCTGGCCAGTTCACAGCCCCCAAGGTCACGTTACAGTCTCCAGTCAGTCCCTAAAACCACTCCCTGGGACTGCCCCATGAACAGGTGGGAACGTTGGCCTGGAAGGTCCCCAGCACACCTGGCCTGGATGGGAGGCCTTCTACAGATGGTGTGGTCCCCAGAGGTACCTTCTCCAGACACTTCCAAATGACCATCATTAGTTATCCAGGAAAAACCACATTCTCCAGCCACCTAGCATTCCACGACTCCTCACTGAGCCACAACAGTGTAGCAGGGAGGTCCTGATGCAGGTCTTGGCCCCAGGGAGGGCTCCCTTCTGTGGTCCTCAGCCCGTGGTCAACAGGCACACTGCGGGGGTAGCACAGTCTCTGACGCATGGCGGCCAGGTATGCCAAGGTAAGGCGCTGGGAGGGGGCATCGGTGTCGTATGGGCAGTAGAGGCATTTCCAAGGGCCACGGAGGGCCACGCCACCACTTTTGGACACAACAACGTAACTCGTTTGGCAGCTTTCACAGAGACACCCTCCCCCATCCCAAGTCACCACGGGGCCTACCAAGTCCCTCTGTCCGTGGTCTGGGTGCAAAGGGCAGGGCAGGAAACAGGGCACCAGGGGCGAGAGGCTGCAGGCGCAGTCCCACCAGCCACCCACAGCGCCCAGTCTTCAGAGGACTGGCCAGCAGGCTGCCGTGGGACACAGCTGCCAATCCCCAGCCATATCACAGGGCCCGAGAAAGGGACCCCGCCTCCTGGCCTCCAAGGGGCTCTTGTTCAGAGGAAGCTCGGGGCGCACTGGGCTATTCTACCTACCGTGTGTCCTGAACCTCAACACAACCAGATGCCTGGGTCCGAGTCTCAGCGACAGTTACAAGGCGGCAACTCCGTCCACCTCGGTACACCGCACCCGCCCGTCTTCCTGGGAGTTCAGGACACTTACAAGGGGAGCCCAGGCCCCCCACAGGGCTGCCAGTCGAGAGGTGGGTCTAACACTGGCTAGGAAAACAAACGGACAAGGTCCTCTGCAGCCAGGCGCTGCCACCGCATCTGTCCCCGACTCCTGGCGGGGGTGGGGGTGGGGTGGGGGTAGGGGCTGCCTGCCAGCTGGCCCGGAACACCTCTCCTCAGCCAGGGGCCAGGCGCAGCTGGGCGGTGGGTGCCGCAGCTCAGTGACTGTACAGGTGCGGGAGTGACGCTCTCTGGATGGTTAGGATTCGGGCGCTTCCGGCTGGTCGTAGTCTACATCCGCGATCCTCTCTCCTGAAGAATCTAGGGGGGGTGCGGGAGAGGCAGGAAGAGGGCGCTGAGCACACTGGGGAGGGAGGAGAGACCAGCACAGCCCTGGCTGTCAGTGCAGGCCAACCGGGCAGCCAGACCTGAATGCCCTGCCAGGGGCCCTGATGAGGAGGAAGGAGATGCTATGCCGTGCAGGGCACTTTCCCAGGAATTTAGGGGGAGACAACCCAGCAGAGTGCGGAGCGGAGCCAAGCAAGAGCCTTTCCAAATCTGAACGCCAGCTTGCCCCTGTACTCAGGGGCCCTGGTGGCGCTGTGGGTCTGGTGCTGGGCAGTTTAACCTTCCAGCAGCACTGACCTGCTGGAGGCGGCGGCTGGCTGCTCCTGGAGAGTCAGGGTCACGAGGACTCGGTGGATGGTGGGAGTTTGAGGTGTAGTGGCCATTAGCAGTGACAGCCCCTTTCCCAGAGACTTGACTGAGGCAGCGTGAGCCTCCCCTTTTGGCTGTCACCCCAACTGCCCCCACCCCCCACATGAACTGTGGGAAACAGAAGGATTTCTCCCAAGTTGTCTCCCCCGAATATGTGCCAAACTTAGCTGCTTGCTACCTGGGGCAGATGACTATACACTTGGAGGTCAACAGAAGTAGGTCAGGGGTTATTCTCCCTAAGGGTTATCAGCCATCTAGAGCAAGCAGACACCACTGTTTATCCCACAAGTAGGACCCACTTCCTTCTGATAAGGATTGTTTCCCTGAAGGAGTGCCCAGGGAAGTCAAGCCCACCCAAGGGTGACCGTGGTTAGGCGGCCATCATAAATCTAGGGTCCGCCCATCTTGTCACATGTATACCTCTAGTTCCACCCCTTCCTATGTGCACTCTCCTAGCTCACCCCCTTCCTGTCACGCTTATGCCTAGCATACATCCCTTCCTATGATGTGTATGCCTATTGTACTGCCCCTTCCTGTGATGTGTGCTTACCTGTAATCACGCCCCCCAAAAGTGATAAGCCTTGCTTAGTAATAAAGCTGGCCTCTCCTGTCCTCCCTCCCAGGTTCTCCCCACGAGGACCACCAAGCGGGGCCAAGGTGAGCACGCTACAGTGAAAGGTGTCTGACTCCATTACATCAATCTCTCTTCTACCTCTCATGCGCTCTATGACTTCACTTAGTATCGCCGTACAATTGCGCTACCGGACCCGTGGTGACTTGTTGGGGGCTCTCTTCGCCCATGATGAGCTACCTGGGGCTCTGTGGAAACCCCACAGTCCTGTCCTTCTCCCTCTCCGGAGCTTGGTGAAGGGGCCAGAGGGCTGTGTGTGTGTGGGGGGGAGTGTGTGTGTGTGTGTGTGTATGTGTGTGTGTGTGTGGGACCACCGGGACCACCCTGCGGAAATGGGTCCTTACCTTTGCCTTCTCACTAGGCTCGATGACAATGCCATTGGTGGAATTATTTAGTTCCCGGGAGACCACGCAGAGGAATTCGGCCTGGTCCTCATTTCCGTAGTTATAGGAAGACCCGATGCTGATGAGCTGGGGGAGGGAGGGAGACGATGAGCCACCAGTGACCTGAGGGCACTACAGGGACACACCGCAACCTGCCCACGGGACTGGACGTGGTCCCTCTACTTCCCAGAAGATGAAGAATTCTCTAGCGTGTGGTTCTCCACCTTCCTCACGCCGCGGCCCTTTCACACCTCATGTGGTGGGGCCCCCCAATCATAAAATTATTGTCGTTGCGACTGTGATAAATCGGGCGACCCGTGAAGGTTGAGAATCGCTGCTCTAGCAGGGCCGGGGCCCCAGGGTGTAACTGGGTGCAGCAGTTCCTCAGGGCTCAGTCACCAGGCCTCCCCCTGCCCCTCACCTGGGCAATGCCCCAGCGACCATTTCGTTTAATGTCCAGTCTGAAGCAGAGACTACGACCCAAATCGCATGCTTTGTAAAATGCACGGAGCCTCTCTCAGCTTGATCGTGCCCCGGCTGGTACTCCCAAACACTGAGCAGAATTCAGGACTTCCTTCCAGGTGGAAGCTACACACCCAGAAGGAGAGGGTGAGGCCACCTGGGTTCAAGCTCCGGGGGGTGGGTAGAACAGAATGTCCCTGTGGATGGAGAGGAACCCTTCTTTCGGCCAGAACATCTACACGGGTCCTTTTAGAGAACTGGATTCGGGACATGGTTCTGAACTGGACTCCCAAAGGCAGGACCTGAGCCCATGGCAAGGCCACCAGCAGGCACACGCTGTGGCCGGGCTGGGCCACTTTCCCAGTCCCCCGTCTGTGCCGCAGGCTCGGGGGCAGTCCACTTCCGTCTCCCACAGGGTGTTATTAAGTAAGAAATCAATCACCAGTTTCACAAACTAAACTCTTACACACTATCCTTTACTTAAAACTATCAGGGAAAAGACTGCTGGGATATCGCATGGTAAACTCTGGACGAACTCTGCAGCCCACGCGTGAAGGACCAGAAGCAGCTGACACACAGCCAGCCCAGCTCTGCAGCGGGAAGGCAGGTCCGCCAGCAGCGCCGGGCACAGCTGGGCAGACGGAAATGGAGCCTGTGAGGTCAGCTGTCACCAACGTTGACTTTGGGTTTGGAAGCTAAGTTGACGGTGACAATTCCAATGGCCTCTTAAGCGCTTCCTGAAACCTAACACCGGCGGGCTCCACACACAGCCCTATGTAGGAGCCACTCTGCTCAGCGCCCTGGTGTGGAAGGCGAACGATGAACAACCCTGCCACCTGGTGGAAGAGAGCAGTCCCGTCCTGACTCCCAGCGGCTCCCACAGGGCCAGCATAAGCTAGAGGACAGGAACGGGGTGGACTCCTGGGAACCTGCAGGGGACCCCAGCTCACCTGTGCCCCCCACTCTTGGGGAAGCTCAGGTACTGCGGAGTAGGCAGACAGGGTGCTGAATTCCCGACTGGCCCTCAGGCCTAAGCAATGACCAAGCCCCGGCTCCCCGAGATTGCATGGGGTCAGAACCCCGGATGTGGAGCTGAGGGCCACGGGACACTTTCCCATCGGTCTGAGGTCCCCCTGGACCACAAGGCCCCCCACCCACGTTTCCACATGGCCCTACTGGGGTGGGGGTGGGGGACGCGGAGCATGGTGCGTTCAGGGTGGTGGCTGTTTGGAGAGTCCTGGGCTCCTGGGCCTAAGAGGTTTACCTGTTCAAACTTCCAGCCGTCAGACATGGTGGACACCATCTGAGTCAGCTCCTCCTCTTGGCACTGCAGGACTCGGTAGACGTGCTTCACGGGGCCCTACGGCAACAAGACAGCTCTGGCCGGCCGCGCCTCAGCAGACAGCCTGGCTACCACCCCTGCCTATTATAAGCAGCCCTGCAGCTTCTCAAAAAACAAACAAACAAACAAAACCCTATGGAAGGAGTCGAGGATCCAGGAACACAGGCCAAGGGGAAAAGACCCTTGAGCCCCAGCAGGATGGATGAGGTGAGTGACCTGGGGGCTTCATTTCCAGCCACTGCCCAAAGCAGAAAACAGTCATACACCTCTGCCCAGGGGTTTTCTTAAGTTTTTCCAAGGGCCCCGCACAGGCACACCGGGAGTGCCGAGCAGGCTCGGAGTTCTTCCTCGAGCTGCCTTTTTGCTGAAATGACACTCGGAATGTCCCCACACTCCAGCTCCCTCTACCGCTCCTGAGGCTCCCTGAGCAGAGGCTGGGAGGAAACATCCTAGAGGAACCACCTGCTAGCTGGACCCCCCTCTTTGGAGGAGATGCTGGCTCTGGAGACCAGGGGCTGAGCCAGCAGCAGGACGAGGTCCTGGCCACTGGAGCCCTGTGCATGCCCAGGACTCAGCTCAGCTCAGGGGCCCGGGAGGGGGCTCAGCAGGTGGATGTCACCTCTTACACAAGGGCAGGTGTGTCTGGGGCCATTCAGGGCCTGGCCACTGCTGGTCCCGGAGGGAGAGAGGGCACCGGGACTGAAGCACACCAGCAGAGTGGAGCGGAGTTTATACTTATCAAAGGCTGGATAGATGTTGTATGTATGTCAGCACATGATGACCCTGGGATGGGATGCCAGAGGTCCCGACTGGGGGTCAAGGGGCTGTCCAACAACTTCACACTGCCCCAAAGTAGAGTCCTAACAAGTTAACCCCAGTCCCATTTAAGCACCTTTTAAACGAGCAGGGCAGGCCCCAGCCCACGCCTGAGGATGACGAGCGATGGGGACTCCGCTGCCTGAGGGGCCACACTGGGACCACCTCTCCTTCCCCAAAATGCCCCTCGAGTCTGCTGAACACCAACAGGGAGGACTGCCTGCCGGGGCTCCTCGAGCACGGACTCCTGAGAACCCTCCGCAAAGGACTCACGGAGGGGCGGGGGCTTGATGTGACTTGGGGAGAACCCCCCAAAGGGGGGAGTGCAGATGTCACCGGCGTCACAGAAGTGAACCCGTGGGAACTGGTGCATCGATCACGGTCTGCCCTGGGCATTCCCGAGGGCAACAAAATCCGTCCTTACAAAGAATCCACCACAAACAACACATGCAGCCAATCTTGAGGGGCACAAAGGAGTGAGGGCGCTGGGCTGCTACCCACAAGACTGGCGGTTCAAATCCACCCGCCGCTCACTCCTGGCGGGCTGAGCCACGTGAGGCTGTCCTCTCCCCTGACTTGCGTCTCAGGAAACCGTGCACAGGTCCCTGTGCGTGGGGCTTGGTTGAGAGGGAAGAAGAAAGGATTAAAAAACAATAACAATCACACTGAAAGTTTTCGTACTTGATTTTCCAAAAGAGGAGCGGTGGGAAATTGGTTCTGGAAGAACTCACTACTGGAAAGTCCTGGGCAGACAAGAGCAGCTTGATCTCCGGGGGGCTGTTGGCCGTGGTACCCCATCTCAGGCCTTCACCGAGACCAGGTGTGGGCGTGGGCTCCCTGCTCTATGTGAGGATGCTAACGCTGAAGTTAGGTGTCTCCCTAAGCTGGCCTGCCAGCAAGTCATGGGGGGAAGCAGAGCTGGGACTTGAACCTGGGTCTGCCTGCCAGTCCGGGATCTTTTTTCCACGCTTTCTCCTTCGAAACAAGGTACTGGGGTTGTGAGCCCAAGAACCGAGACTAGTGGGACCCTGGGCAAACTGCAATGGCTGGAACCACACATCTGCCAACAACCAGCCATGTGACATTTTGGGCACCACCAAAAATCTACGACATTGACCATACCTGTCAGTCCCAGGTGTCTGGGCTGCCTACATTGTCCCCACGGCACGCTGGCAGCGCGGTGGGTTAGGTGCTGCACTAAGCATGGTGGGCAGTCAAACCCCCCAGCGGCTCTGTGGAGAAAGATGAGGCTGTCTGCTTCCGTCAAGAGGTGGAGTCTCAGAAGCCCCGTTAGGGATGGAGTGGGCTATGCGAGGGGGAATCGACTCCGCGGCGGTGGTTGCCATCTCACTTTTTTCACTGAATATCGTCCCGCTCTTTGTGTCTCTTCTTCGACAGTCTGGCACCGGAGCTGCCAGGCACAAGATCAACTCCCAGGCCAGAAACACCGTAATAACGATACCAGAGGCAGCAAAGTCGGGAGGCTGGTGGAGCCACTCAGCGACGAGACATCACCAGAAGCAAGATGGGGCCAGACTCTCGGCCGTGGCTCCGTGGCTCCGTGTCAGGCAGGGTGTGGCCCTGACAGAGGGGCCATCTGTCCACAGGTGAAAGCAGACACCGTGTTGGATGGGATAGCCACAGAATCTCACACGCACAGCCAACTTTTGCAGAGGGCCACGTGGACACCAAGTGGCACGGGAGGCAGGCTCTGAACGCATCAACTCCACTGCTCAGAGTGTTCGCTGAACAAAAAGGGCAGGTGGAGAGATCAACCAACATCACGAAGGTCTAGACGCTCCTGTCACAAAACAGGAGACAGCTCCCAACTGGGTCTACACCCGCGGGCGCTGGCAAGCCGGAGGACAACGGTCGCCATTCTGTCGTCAGGTAGAAAGGCATCTTACACTCTGAGGACGGAGAACGGAGCGTGTGCAACGAGACAATCCATGGCCCCTCAGGATCACATGCAGCCAGCACAGTTGTTGGGAAGCTGGCAAATGGAAAGGCAGGCAAGATTCTCAAGAGGCCTGGGCGCTGCGGCTTTTACGGGGCAGGCGCCATGTCAGTGGGTGCCCGCCGGCTGGCTGGGCAAGATGGAGGAGACCGGGAAAGGAGCGAGAGGAGTCAGGCCTTTTTGCCACCCGCCGCCGACAGGCGCACGTGGTTGTGTGCTTGTTTTTCACGGAGGTGCCAGTTATTGATCAGGATCAGGCCACAGGGTGCCAGACCATCCTGCTATATGGGCGGAGTCTATCAGAGCGGGCTGAGCCCTGGGCTTGACCTTCCAAGCCGCTTCTGGCTTTCTTCTTCAAAGGAGAATCCCAGGAGGTTTTCTTAGTCTACAGGAAGCATGGCATCAACCTCTCCTGGGATGGGAGGTAGGTCAGGCGACAAGACAGATGGTCCCCGCCGGGTGCGCAGTGACAGCCCCTTTTGCTGCACCACTCCTCCCCCATCAACATCAAGGCATGGCCCCGGCGAGCCTGTCTGTGTGTCACTTCAGGCCCATATAGAATTCAATACACCAAACGCACTGCGGTACAGTCATTTCTGACTCATGGTGACCCTACAGACCAGGGAAGAACTGCCCCGTGGATTGATTTCAGACTGCCACTCCGTATGGAAGTGGAGTCTCCTCTTTCCTTGGCACAGCTGCTGGTGGTTCCGAACGGCTGACCTCGAGGTTAGCAGCCCAACTTGCCACCAGGGCCCCTGCAGACCGTTCTCAGAACAGCCCACTGCTCACAGCAGGCATTCGTGGCGGCCTGAGGTCTTCCTTGAACTCACTGGTTTACAGTTGAAGGTTAAAAGCGACTAATCTCCAGGCAACGGTTGCAGGGATACACCCAGCCTCCAAGGTCCAGATGTCTGGAGTCTGAGAGAACTGGATCAGGATTCTTCCACAGACTCTTCGATCACACTGTTCTGTAATGGTACCGGGCACCCCCCAGTCCTGGTTTCGCTGCTACAGAAAAAGGGAGGCTTCACAATGGAGCAAGAAGCTGCCAGTTTTCTCTTTCTTAGAAGCAGGATTTCCAAGGGGCTCCTTAATTCTCCGCCCAGAGACTGGCTCTGGCCTCGCTTGCAAGGGCTGGCCAAGGGCTGGCTGTGGCAGGGCCACACGTTAAAAGGCTCATCCTAGGACAGTATGGCTGTGGTGAGGTCTTGTTGGGTCTTGATGCCAAGGGAGACAGATACCCTGAGAGAGCAGTGTGGACCCCAAAGTGCCGTAGCCTGCCCCCACTGTGGCGAGGTGGTCAGGAACCAGCTTCCTAGTCTTCCGAAGGGACACGGGGCTGGGTGAAAGCCCCCTTTGTTACTTCTTCTCTGTCCCAAACAGGTCTTGGGGCCTGGCTGGCTGGATCTGGCAGCATGTACATGGTGGATGCTCTTGGGGGGTGGGGAGGGGTGCGCACAGACCTGGGGTCTGCAAGGTGAAGCAGGCTCTTGCCACCTGGACAGACGGAGAGAGCCCCCAAAGAGAAATCCCCCTTTAAAAAAACCAAAACACGCTACCTGTGACGTTCTGTTCTCATTGTCCCGAATCCTTTCCTTCACCAGCCGCACCAGCGAGGCGATGTTGTAAAACTCTGCTTCTTCCAGCACACCTAGAACAGGGGGCGAGGGTGTGTGAGGGCTAGCTTTGGCAAAGGCAGCCTGGAGTTCACAGGCTGGGTCAAACTGGCATCTTCCAATCCAGAGACCTGAAGAATGAGATGGTGCCCGGCTACCAGCACCAACTGCTCTGAACCTGGCCTCGCTAGAAGGCCCCGACTGGATTGGGAGATGAGAGGCCTGGCTGGCTGGTGGAACAGAGACAAGTGGGGCCCCTGGGACGATGGCCCTTTGTCAGCCTTCAGGTCTGCACCTCAACTCACCCCCGGGGCTCAAGTTTCAGCCGCACAGTAGACAGGTGTGCACGGGAATGTATTCACACTAGGGCGGTATACACACCTCACCATAACTAACTGTTTGCCATCCAAAGGGCAGCATGTATCCAAGGATGATATTCCCAAGGGCTGGGGAAGTCAGCGGAGTGGAACCGGGAAAGCGCAGGGAGGATGTGGAATAAGGGACGTCACCCCAGGTGATGGCCATTCACAGCATGAGACACACCCTGTCTGGAATGTGAGACAGAAAACTGCCCTGCTCGAGACCGCCATCCAGCAAGAACAAAACCCCTCTCTCATTGCTCGTTTCATCCTAAAAGGCATTTCCGGGCTGTGGCAGGTGGACCCAGGACCTTCTTCCCAACCAGGTGTGTCTGCTTCCTGCCGGCACCTGCCCACGAGCTGCAGGACACTGGTCCTATATGCCACTTCCTTCCTGGAGCTAGTCGGGATGGGCAGCTCCTAAATCTGCCTGGAGAGGGGGG